CACCAATCAGTAGTGATGCACTCAATAGCTCCTCCTCCCTTTGTCTGTTTTCTATAATTACTGTGGAGATTTTTAGGGTTCTTTTCGGGGATCCACTGAACTATCTGGCTACCCCTCCAGACTGAAGATTGTCCCTGTTTTGTAAGTATTCATAATGATTGATTACACTAGTACCTATAATCAATCTGGAGATACTTGGCCTCTTCCTTTGGTTTAGAAAGAACATCCCATGGTTATGAGGGAGTTACAGGGTTCTCTAGCGAGAGGAATTCTTACAATACTTGATTCACTGTGTGAGAATATAAGCATGCAAATTTACAGAGATGTGGATAAAGTTTTCTGTATCCACTAGTATATGAAAAGCTAAAAAAAAGAAAAGATAGTTCAATCTATGTGTCTAAAATATTTTAAACAACAATAATGGTGTTTTCATGCCATTATAAGTATAGGCTTATCTTTAGGTACCATAATCAGTAATTTAAACATTTTTTAAATGTTGCTTTCTATTACTTTATAGCAAACTTGAGTGAGAAATACTTTTGCTGTTATATTATGCTAATAATAGATAAAAGGATTTATTTTAAAATTTTTGTTGCATCTTTCTAATGGGCTGGAACTAATTATAACAATTTACATGTAATTATAACTTCTAATAGTATGATTTTGAATAATATGACTCCACAGGATTAGTTACTCTCACTCATACCTATCTGTATATACAGAGGAGAAAGGCACTAGAAGTAATACAATTGTGAGGGTATACGAGGTAACTAAAAGAGGAACATACCAAAGGCATGGAAAAAATCTCAGACCTTATTGAAACCAAAAAAAGGTGACTGAGAGAACATCACCTATGGAATTATATGCCTACTCTCCTAGCTATACAAAATCTCTGTGAAACACATCTATACACAAACTGAGGGCATCCTCAATGAGGTTATAAGCAGAGGAAAAACAAACTTTTGCAAACAGTATTCAACAATGAACCATATCTTTACCATTTCACAACTGACTGAAAGATACAGAGATTATAAAATCCCATTGTGTTTATTGTTTGTTGATTATGAAAAAGGATTAAACAATAAAACAAAATGCTACCTTACGGGATCTCTTACAAGTTATCTCATATATATCTCTCAAGATCATTCAGGATTCCTTAGAAAATGAACCTGTTCAACAATCCTCTGGCAATAAACATCAGGTGAGGTACACAACTCTTAATTAATCTATATACATGAAATATTTTGTATCTGTCCCCCTTCTCTCCATTCTCGTGAAGAGGATGAATGTGGGAAGCAAGGGTATTTTGAAAATGTATGCTTGCTGAAATTATTTTACACTGTAATCAAGGGGATCTAACAGAGTCCAGGTCAAGGAGGCATTCCCTGTAGGTGGAAAAGTCTTTCAGATACTACTGTTTGCAGATGACATTGTGTTGATTCCATCAAACTTCATGACATTGCACATCCTCCTCTAATCACTCAAAGTTCTTGAATCTGTTTATCCACACAGGAAAGATCAAATGAATGAAGAATGCTTGTTGTTCAGATTTCAACAATTTTGTGCTTCTTTCCAGAGAGAGTTTCTTTAGTTCTCTTCTTCCTCTCTTTCTCTTTAGATCCTCATTCTCTTGATTCATGACACCTGTAATTATGTGATCTCTCTGTATTCCTCATGCAATCAAAGTGTCCAGGGTACAAATTCTACGCTCCCCACTCTAGGTGGTTTCTTCCACTGCCTTGTAGAGCTTGCCCCATGGATTCTCCTTTTTCATGAGCACCTCATTCCCAGAACAATGCCAATTATTACAAGTGTCAGAGATGATGACACTGGCCCATGGGAGGGCTCCTCTGTACCATGTCCCTGATTATGCAACCCACCTATGCCTTCCCATGGTGACCTTTCTTTCCATATTGTCTCACATTCTCCTCCCTTGGTCCATACTCTCCTACTTCCTACGGGCCAGTTGCCCATAAGAGTTTCATCTGATTCCCTCTCAATATAAGATGAGTAGACTTTTCAAGAGTTAAATCCCTCAGGGCACACCCAGTGCAGGGTCCCATCTCACTTCACAAACCAGCTCTCTCCCCCCAAATCAGTATTCATCAGTGAATGAATGGCCCCTCCAGCCACCAAAGCAAGGCCTCTTTCCTTTTTAATTCTTCTCTCCTGTGCCTCCTCACCTCCTCCACTGCAGGCTCTCTTCTTTCTTGGACAGCAGGGGTCACCTCTTTGCTCAATTTGACCCTAGGACATCACAGTCTCCTCACTAACTCCCTGCTCCCCTCCCCCATTTTCATGTACCCTTCCATGTTGTAATGTAGTCACACACACACATACGCAAACATACACACACATAAACACACACACACATACACACACACAAACAAAAAACAAAAACAACACAACCATTGATTCATCTGTAGGCAGGGTGTCTCCAAGGTCTGTCCATAATTTCCCATTCCTGTCCCTTCACTGTTCCTTCCATCAAACTTTTGCCTTCACTCCTCTCTCCCTATGTACATTTAGAAAGAAGTTTCTTACTGGTCATTCAGCTGTTACTCAGTGCTACTGATGTTGCAGTCCTTGGCTATTGGATTTATTCACTCGTCTTCCACTTCTGTTTGGGGTAAGATCTGAGAAGCAATTTCTCTTCTGGTTTTCTTTCTAAAAATGTTTCAAACATTTCTTTATAATTGAATGTCCATCCCCTTCTCTGGTTAAGCTAGGATTTGCGGGGTAGGTCACCCTGGGCTGCATCCTGAGCTCCACTATGCTTTAGAACACATTATTCTATTCCCTCCTATGATTTTTGGTGGGTTCAGAACAGTCTTGCATTCAAATTCCCTTTCCTTTGTAGTTGAAGGTCTTTATCCTAATCATTTGCAGAATTTGTTTCTGAACTTAATTGTTAAAATTAAACACCATGTGTCTTAGAGTTCGCAACCTTGGTCTTTGTAAGGAACAAGGTATGAATTCTTTTTACTGATATTTCATTTCTATCTTCAGAAGTTCTAGGCAGTTCTCTTCTATTATTTCCTGCATTGTGGTCCTAAGGTTTTGTTTTGTTTTTTTTAATCCTGCCATGTTCTTCTAGGAGACAATGACCCTCAGATTATCTGCCCATCTTGTCTTCAAGATTAGTATGTTTTGCTTGTATAGTAAGCATATTTTCACTTAAAGTTGTTTTTTGCTTCTCTTCTAGATTGTCCTTTATTTCAACAGAAATTGCTTTCTTTAAAAGTTACTAATCTAATGTCTAGTTTAAAAAATTACTAATCTAAATTTCAGTGAATTGTGACAAAAAGCCCTCTGTTGAAATGGAAAGGGGAGGTGATAGTGTAGGGATCTTGGAACAGCTTCTGTTGGGAGTGGAATAGAGGTGAAAGGCAAGAATGGATGCAGCAGAGAGGGCACAGCTGAGATTTTATAGCACAAATTTGTAATGGACCACAAGCATTGATTTTTATAGTATTGTATAGTGGATTGTATAGTACACTTGTATAGTCAATTTCTTATGGTGGTGATCTGGAGCAACCAAGAAGGAACAGAAAAGGCAGAGGGTGGAAGTAATCCAGGTTTGGGGTTTGGAAAGGCAAAAATAGGTAGGATGGTGTGGCAAGGGATTCAAGGTTCAAAGACAACTGGTTAACTAAAGGGTTGAAATTCTTAAGAGAGGAACATTAAAGCTTGAACAAGCACTGAAGCCAGAGATAGCAAGAATGGTTGGGGTGAATGGAGGTTGAGGGGAGAGCAAATAATAAGTTTAAAGGTAGGTCATAAGGAGAGCTGCAAGCACAGTAAATTATAGTTAAATAGAGGAATTTCAGAATTTTGGATTGTTGCTGTAGAACTTGGGGTAATAAAGGGTCATAGGTATGACTTTTCCTGTGTTTGACATATGTAGAGAGATCAACCTCAAGGTTGATGGGGAGGGAAGCAAGGGTATCTAAGGAATTATCTACATGTATATTGAAGTCACCAAGTATAAGATTCAGGTTTAGAATAGAGAAGACTGTGAACCATGTACTGCATTGGAAAGAGCAGACAATAGGCATCAGGATCTGTACATGTCAAAAAGGCAGCTAAGAGAAAGGGGGGAAAGGTCTGGAGTGGCAGTAAGGCAGAAACACGTCTACACCCCCTCCTGGCTGACGTGGATTAGTTAGGAATTAAGTGGGGAGAGGAGCCACGAAGACATTAGCAGAGCAGCAGAAGAGAGTTTGTAAGCACTTTCAAAAAATGGTTTTCCCCTATTACCCAGCACATCTTCAGGAGGTCTCAAGGCCTAAACTCCTGAATTTCTGAGTCTTGTCGCCAAGGGAGGGTACGGTATTCTAAAGTCTGGGTATAATCCAGGCCCAAAGCATGCATGCTTATTGGGAGAAAGCTCTAGGTTACAGTCCAGAAATTAACGTGCCTGCCTTGCCTACAGCTTGTGAGTGCCACGTAGTAACTGATGACACGAAGTAGGCATTGGTTGGCTGAAGTAAAGTTTAAAGGCTTATAACCACCTCAACCCAATCATTACTTACGTGGACATTGGTTGGGAGAAGATTGGGTAAATACAAGATTGGCTAAGCGAAAAGGAGAATGAGAGCTAGGGACCACGATGAAGGACATCAGGAGGCTGGACAGAGGAGATCCATCGATTTAGAGTCAGTAGGGAATTCAGGGCTCACATAATCCAACCCTTTTCATTTTAAAATGAAATTTAAAAAAAAATTTTAAAGACGAGAACTGAGGCCCAAAGAAGTTAAGTTACACCAGGTCGCACGGGTTTTCTGTCCAAGCCTTTTCCTTCATCTTCCACCCTCGCAAAATTATCAAACTGACTCTGCTTTCCTCGCGCCCCTCTCCTCCCAGCCAGCTTCTCCAACCCGCGCCTTCGAACTTCAGGTGGCGCTATAGTGCCTCCGGGAGGGGGCGTGTCAGAGGGACAGTCTGCCCAGTAACCCATGACGCGGGGCTGGTCAGGCGAGCTGCGGGGAGAAGGCGAGGACCCGGAGGAGGCCTGGGTAAATCCCTATCCTTAGGCGCTGGATTCTTTGGCACCTCCCTCCTTACCATTTTATCCCCCACTCCTGCCTCGCTTGTCCTCCCATCCGCCTCTTCCCCGCCCGCTGTCTCCTCTCGCGCTCCCAGCTCTGGCGGTTGGGGGTCGTTGAGCCGGCTGGGCGGCAGCAGCTCGAGCATTGGAGGAGTCAGTCCGACCACGGGTGAGGGAACACAGACTGGGCGGATGAGGGAAGTGGGGGGTGGGGGGGTAATGATGGGGCTTGAAGGGTGGCAGGGGCTCCTAACCCTGAGCCTAGTGCGAGCTCTTCCACACCACCGCCTTCAGCTGGAGGAAACCTTCGTTTTCCTGGAAAGAAGTCTGCACTGGCAACTGAGTGACGCGTGGGGGAGCGAGACTAGCGCGCGCTTGTAGGTGCGCGCGGGCGGGGGGGGGGGGGGGTTGACTCAAAACAAAGCCCCCCCCCCCTGCCGGCCTGCTGCCTTTTCTCTGTCGCTTCTCACCCGAGTTTCTCTCCTGACATTTCGTTTTCTCGCCTCGAATCTTTCCATTTTACCCTCCAACTCCTGTCTTCCACTCCCTTTGCCTCCCGACTTTTCCTCTTCTTCTTCCTCCCCTCTTTTGTCATCCCTTTCCCCTTCTTTCTCCTCTCTTCCCTTCTTCCCCCTCTTCTTCCTCCCCCTCCTCTTCTTCCTCCCCTCTCCCCTTCGCTTTTTCCTCTCCTTCCTCCTCTCTCCCCTTCTCTCTTCTTCTCTCTCCATTTTCCCCGTCTTTAAGCCTGTTTCCGGCTCTTAGTATGATCCTTTCTTCATCTGGTCCCTAGCGCCGGAGACTCCCAGCTCCGAAGGGCAGCGAGAAGATTTGCGACTGCACGGTGGCACCTAGCTCCTGGTTCCAGAGCGGAGGGAGGGTCTGGGGATGGAAGGGAGGAGTCACGGCCATCTCCCGCTCATTTGCCACCTCCCTCTCCCTTTTCACTCTTTTGTCCTTCAAAAATACCTCTTGACTCAAATTCCGGGGTAGGGCGGAGGGGGCGATGTTTCATCCTCGTGGGACTGACCAGGGATTGGGGACTTGGGTGGACACGTAAGAAACGAGGCCGAGAGAAAGGGGGGCTCTACATTTGTAGGCAAAAGCTTTAGGGGCAATCCATGGCTCCTCGGCCCTGGAAAGTTAATCATAGAGTTTTCATTAATTGGGGGAACAGGAGAGGAAGAGAAGCTTCAACCCTTCCCAGAGATGAGTTTGAGACATTTAAGCACCACTATGTGGAGAGCACTGTGCCAATCTCAACAGTATCTTTTCGGTACCCACCCTTGCCATAATTGTCCTACTACCTAGGATTGACTCTGATGCTATAAAACACACACACACACACACACACACACACACACACACACACACACACA